ATATATTGTTGAATTTTAGTTGAGTGTGTATGGATTTGATGACTGTCAAAGTCCTTCCAGCTCCGTGAGTTGCTGAGTCTCTCAAGGATCACCTTCCACTGTTTGACATGATTATACCTGCAAAACATCCTTTCATCATATATAATAAAAAACAGGCTTAAAAAATGAGATGGAGATAGGAATATTTAATCTAATTTCATTCTAGAGATTAGAAAAGAAGCACTAAGTTTTTGTAGTGTTTGTTTATTTTCTCCATAAAACAGTAACTTTATTTTTAAGATAAAACCCGTCATTAGATATCTTCTTTTTTACATCTCAGTGGTTTTGTGTTGCTTTCAGCAATGTGCAAAATGTTCTCCTTTCCCTGAGGTTGTCTGATATAAGTGAATTTGTGGTGGCATAAATATATTAAAGGGAACCATGTTGCACTGTTAAAAAATTGCTAACATCAACACTTCCCTATAAAGAGAGGGTAAATAAAAGAGAAGTTTATCTTATGTTAGGTATACATTGTCCTCTTTATACAAACCACTGCATGAAATACTAAGCATAAGCATTTTTCCGATAGCTGTGTTTAATAGAAATATAACACAGAGAAAACAAATAATGGGTGAATTTTAAGTGTTTGGTACACATAAACATATAGAAATATATAAAACATTATATATTTTCAAAGAAAGAACAAGATCCTTGAGATCTAGTGCTTTTTAATTTAACTTTAGAATACTTACCACCACATGATTTAAAAATTATCATTTCCCATGTTTATTTCTGATGTACAAAATTCATGTTGAAGATACTCACGTTAGTAAGTCAGACAAAGGAGGATATCTGGAATTGTTCATGTTTCACCTATGATAATGATATTGTTGCCAACTATCCCCTTAAAAATCTCCCTCAATAGATCTATACAAATAATCAAGGGCTAAAATTTTATATCAGGATTCTTTGATGTGTAATACTGAAACCAAAAAAGTCTTTATAATATAAAATATATTCAATAGCATAAGAGCTAAACTGGACACTATCAGCTTAGTTTTTATGTTACTAAAAGTTAAAGATTATTCTGTATCTCAGAATAATAATAATAGCATAAATTCGAATAATATAGTAAAAATAATAGGAAAGATACACATAGGGCTTTCTCTGTGTCAATTACTACTGATTATAATATCAGATGTATTTATTTAAACTAATTTTTGAAGTAAAATTATTTCATCCACCATCAAGATAAGAAAATGGAGCCACAGATATTAAGCAACTGGCTAAGGTTACCCACTGAGAATTTGGTAGAACTAGGACTTAAAATGAAATAAAAATAAAACTTAAAAGGTTCTGAGCTACTGAGCTACTCTGCTGTACCGTATCTCTAATGAAATAAGCATAATTTTTGAAGGCATAAGCATCATTTCTAATTTTTTTTTGCAGTTAATTTGCCTTTAGTAATACATTTATAATCTTGGAATATTTTACTTCATTAATTAGCTTTTTATTGGGCTGTAACAAGTTGTTTATATTTAGTTATATTTCTTTATATGTTTATATTTATATTTATAAATATATTTATATTTTATATATTTTGTTTATATTATATTATGTTATATAAATCTAATATATAATATAATATACAATATATTAAATAATAATATATAAATAAAATTAAATAAAATAAATGATATAATAAATAATAATATATTATATAACGATTATATATTTATATTTATATTTAAAATTTTATTTGTGGAGCCCAGAAGTCTGATATAGTCTCACTGAGCTAAAATCCAACTGGAAGGGCTGCATTCCTTTCTAGAGGCTCTAGGAAAGAATTCATGTTTTGCCTTTTCCAGCTTCTAGAGGCTGCTCTTTGTTCTTGATGTAGCTCCTTTCCATCTTCAAAACCAGTAATAGCCAGTTGAGTTTTTCTCTTGGTGCTGTCCCTCAAATTCAATTCTCCTGCCTCCCTCTTCTCCATTTATGAACCCTTGTGATTACACTAGGCCCACCAGATAATCCACAATCATCTCTTTAAGATCAGCAGATTAGCAACCATAATTTCATCTGCAACTCAAATTCCTCCTTGCTATGTAATATAACATATTCCCAGGTTCAAAAGACTAAAACCTATATATCTTTGTGTGTTAGTGGCTCAGTCGTAAGCAACTCTTTACAACCCCATGGACTGTAGCTTGCCAGGATCTTCTGTCCATTGAATTCTCCAGGCAGGAATACTGGAGTGAGTTGCCATGCATTGCCATGCCCTTCTCCAGGGGATCTTCCTGACCCAGGGATTGAACCTGGGTCTCCTGCATTGCAGGCAGATTCTTTACTACTTGAGCTATAGATATCTCTGGGAGATCATTATTTTTACATACCCCACTTCTTATGTACTATATGGGCATTTTATACCTCTGTATGTGTGTATGTACGTGTGTATGCAAAATATCATCACAATATAATGGGAAATTTAATTATCCATTTAATTGACTGTACCTTAGACATTTTTGTTCATTAGTCTAAAATTTAGAAAGTGTTACCTTATTGTCATTGATGAGTTAATTTTTTGTTTGTTTTTGGAAATTCCCATTTGGTCAATAAATTAAAGTGAGACAGTGTGAGGACTGCAATTTGTTATGCTCGTTGTCCGAATTCCTGAGCGGGAAGAGAGAAGGCCTCCAAGACAATGCAACTCGCATAAAAGGGAAGTTTATTGCTGACTCAAGTCAGGGCTCCTGCCGCGCGTCCAACGCAGTGGTACGGGGTCAGAGAGCGCTGAGCTCAAGCTGTTACCCAATTTATAAGGTGTGCATAAGCAGTTGGTAGCTGGCTTAAGCGAATTGGTTACATGTTTGCAAAGTAATCTTATTGACCCAAACCTTCGCGGGCTTTTTTCAAATTTGGGCGTTCGCGGGCTTTTCAGCTTTCCCCTGATGGGTTCCCTTTTTCTTACTAAGCGCATATTGATTGGCTGGCTCCAGGTGGCCTGATAATCATGTTACCTTGGAAAACCAGGCCTACTCCTAATCTAGGCTGCCTATCATGGCACAGCCTCACATTCTCCCCTTTCTTGTTGTTTCTGTAGAGGAATCTTTTTCTTTATCCTGGGCTACCATCTGATATTGTTGCCTCAATACCATAATCTGAATGGTATTTAAACTTTCTTTAATAAAAGACATTAACCGGTTTCAAATGCAAGGGCCAATTGTTAGTGTCAGTAACAGTACTATAAGTGGACCCAGGAGGGTGGAAACTAAGGTGGTCAGCCAGGGGGAGCATTGAAACCAAGACTCAAACCATGATTGTTCATTTTCTCTTTCTTGTTTTCGCCTGCTTAGGCCTTCTCTAACTTTTTGAAGAGATTTCTGTACTACTCCTGAATGGTCAATATAAAAACAGCATTCTTCTCCTAGGGCTGCACATAGTCCTCCTTGTTTTAAGAACAGCAGATCTAAACCCCTTCTATTTTGTAACACTACCTCAGCCAGAGAACTTAAGGATTCTTGGAGGTGGGAAATGGATTTTTCAAGTTATTCAATATCTTCATCTATTGCAGCCCTTAGCTGGTTATACTGTTTATCTTGGAGCATTAAGGCTGCAATTCCACTTCCAGTTCCTATGGCCCCCAGTCCCAACAGGACAGTTAAAGTGAGGGCAGTGACAGGCTCTCTTTTTACCCTATACTGACCTGGTGTCTCTAGCCTTGGTTGCAGTTCTTCTTCTGGGTAATAGTTCAGCCGGGGAATTAGATGGACTAGGACACAGAACTCTTGGGAGGTCTTTAGTGCTGCCTGATGGGCACACGGAGTTAGTCCGGTGGAGCAAGCCCACCACCCATTTCCTGGTGGGATGATCCACTGGTGAGTGGAATTAGTGAGGTTAGTCATAGAGACCATGTGATTACATAGGTGTTGATAAGTCTCAAGGATAGCTCCTATGTAGGTACCTATATCCATAATGGAGCTTACTGTCAGGCGGCCCATACCAGGTTGTTGCTGCCATCTACAGGCTGAGACATTAGCTGTCATATTGAATCCTGAAGAAAAAGCAACTGCCTCATAATAAGGAGGACTAATATTATAGCAGAGCCAGCAACCATTTGTTAAGTCTGGACGAGAGGCATTAAGGGTAAGGTAAGCTAAGGAGATCATTTTTATAAGGGGGCCTGTAGGTGGGGACATGTCAACTATGGGGGGAGCTATGGGGTGTGGAGTGGATCCAGTATCCCGACTTTGGTTCTGGGAGGGAGGTTTTGGGGTTGTCCTCTGGGAAGAAGGTTTTGGGGCTGTCACCTGGTTTGGTCCCAAAGCTACCTAGGGGCCAAATAGAATGGTCCCAGTTGTAATAAAGCTACCTAGGGGCCAAATAGAATGGTCCCAGTTGTAATTTGAGCTCAAACTGGAATCCATTATTGGATCCAGTCTGATAAAGACGTAGGCCCCAGACTCTTCCTACGTCCCACCTGGTAAACCTTTTCCCCTCATCAGTGAACTTAATCTGTAATGGAAAACATTGTCCAGGTTTAGACGACAACATCTTACATGGTGGGGAATCTTGGGGTAATTTTACTTGAATGAGGTCTTTGACGGGATTGGTGAGCCAATGGACCATTCCTGTAGTTTCACATCCCCAAGCGGCGCAATAAAAAGAATCAACTCCCCCACATCTTGCAATTTGGTTCCGATCCCTTCCTCCCCCCGGACAGACATATACGGGTGTTGGTTTTGTGCATGGTGTGTCTCCCTGGAAGGCCCAGTCAAAAAGGCTGAGGGTTTCAAACTGAGGGCTCCTGATGAAGTCACTCAGTTGACTGGGACCGTGGGAGCCGTTAATGTCGGCTGCCAGGACGCATAAATCAAAGGTCAATTCAGGCCACCATGTCCCTTTGGGGGCTACGTTGGAACTCGAATTAAGTAGTCCTCCGGTCTCAGGGTTGTAGACCACCCAAATCATGTTAACCAGATGATGGGGGTTGTGGCTCGTCGCTCCTGGGTCGATGAGAGCTGCCATCAGCAGGAGAATTAGGAGGCCTCCCGTCGAACAAGTTTCAGTTTCAAAGGATTTGATGGGTGAGGACTCGCCTTCCATTCTGCTCGTGCTCTTTCCTGTTCCTCCGGAGTAGCTTGCCGCACGTGATTGCAGTGAACCCAGGGTCCAATCCTGTCAACCTTAACAGCGGTAGGGGTGGTAAGGAGAACAACATAAGGGCCTTTCCATCTGGGTTCTAATACCTTAGACCGGTGCCGTTTTACCCAAACCCGGTCACCTGGGCCAATGGTATCTGCGGGGAGGGCCCCCTTGCTCTGACCCTCGTGTATCTCTGAATCAATTTCCAAGCATGGTTATGCACCTTACTTAATGCCATCAGAGTTTGCTGGAATTGTCCCAGAGTAGGGGGTGGCAGGCATTTTCCCTCGAAAATAGGACACACAGGAGGGGGTCTTCCATACAGAATCTCAAAAGGGGTAAGATTCAGCTTATAAGGGGTGTTATGCGCCCGAAAGAGTGTGAAGGAAAGGAGGGTCACCCAGTCCCCGCCAGTCTCTATTGCCAACTTTGTCAAAGTTTCTTTTAGGGTCCGATTCATTCTCTCAACCTGTCCTGAGCTCTGGGGATTATATTCACAATGGAACTTCCATTTTGTCCCTAGAGCTTGGGCCAGCCCTTGTACAATCTGGCTCACAAAGGCAGGTCCGTTATCAGAGCCCATAGTCACTGGCAGCCCGTACCTAGGCACTATCTCTGTCTCTATTGCTGTCTCTCCCTTAGTGGGGAAGGCTTTTACCCACCCCGAGAAGGTATCTACCAGAACCAACAGATAGCGATATCCGTACTTGCCTGGTCTTACCTCAGTGAAATCTATCTCCCAGTGTTGCCCTGGCTCTTCCCCTCGGTACCTCATTCCCGTGTGCTGCTTTTTCTCTGTCTTCATCAGCTGGCATGCTTTGCAAGTCTGGATTATCTCTCGTAGAGTTGCATTTTGTCGAGGGAACCTCAGGCAGGCCGTCTGGAGAAGTGTCAAGGTCTTTTTCCCTCCCAAGTGTGTAGTTGTGTGCAGGTGTTCACACAGGTGATGACCCAGGATGGCAGGCAATATCAGGTTGTTGTTTTGATCTCGGTACCATCCATCTTTGTCATCCTTCTGGAGGGTGGTATCCTCGTTGATCCAGACGAGATCAGGGAGGGAATATTCGGGAACTGGTGACAGAGTCACCATACCAGAAGGTGGAAGTCCCACGGCTAATATGGGGGCGGCGTAGTCCCAGCTAGCTGCTTCTCGAGCGGCCGCATCAGCGGCACGATTGCCCCATGCCTTAGGGTCTTCTCCTTTCTGGTGACCGGGGACATGTACTATTGCTACTGCCCGGGGCAGTTGGACAGCTTTCAGGAGCCTGCGAATCTCGGGCAAATTTTTGACCTCCTTTCCCTCAGCTGTCCGAAATCCCCTTTCTTGGTATATTGGACCTTGAATATGGGCAGTGCTGAAAGCATATCGGCTGTCAGTAAAAATGGTGACTCTCTTCTCTTTGGCTTGCTCCAGAGCCTGTATTAGGGCAATCAATTCTACTTTTTGCGCAGAAGTGTTTGGGGGAAGTGTCTCAGCCCATATCATCTGCCCTGAATCATCAACTATGGTGGCTCCCGCCTTCTTTTGTCCATCTCTTACATAGCTGCTCCCATTGGTGAACCATACTAGCTCACTGTTGTTTAGCGGTACATCAGTTAAGTCTTTTCGTGCCGCCAGGGCCTCAGCCAGTATCTCACTACAATCATGGAGAGGGCGGTCTTTCTCTGGGTTAGGTAGGAGCGTTGCTGGATTCAGGAAGCAAGGGGTCTGAAAACGCACCCGTGGGGCATCAAGCAGCAAGGCCTGGTAATGTGTCAAGCGGGCATTGGAGATCCACTTACCTGGCGGCTGCTTTAAAACCCCTTCGATGGCATGAGAGGTGTAAACCCAGAGTTGCTGTCCATACGTCAACTTGTCAGCGTCGCAGACGAGGAGGGCAGTGGCTGCAATGATGCGAAGGCAAGGGGGCCACCCAGCAGCCACCGGGTCTAATCGCTTTGAAAGGTATGCCACCGGCCGCTTCCATGGTCCCCATTGTTGTGTCAAGACCCCCTTTTCTATTCCTTGCTTTTCATCTACAAAAAGCTGGAATGGCTTATTTGGGTTAGGCAGGGCAAGGGCTGGGGCCTCTAGTAGGGCCTGTCTTTTTGGTCTCTCTTTTTCTCCCGTCAGGGGGTCTCGAGGCTCCCTCAATTCTGTTCCAGCCTTCATCCCCGAAAAAAGAATCTGGGCTAGCTCCCTCTGGTTCTTCCGATTTTCCTTCGCCCTATGTTCCCTATCTTCCTTCCTGATCTTCTCAGCTAATTCCCTTTCCTCCTGTCGAATTCGCTCTTCCCTTTATTCTGGGGTCTCTCTGTTATTAAATACCTTTTCAGCTGCTTTCAGTAAATCTTGTATTGTCTGTTCTCCCAACCCCTCTATCTTTTGTAATTTCCTCCTAATATCTGAGGCTGCCTGATTCACAAATGCTAGTAGAACTGCAGCACGTGATTCCTCAGCCTGGGGGTCCATAGGTGTATATTGCCTAAAGGCTTCCATCAGCCTCTCTAGGAAGGCTGCCGGGCTCTCAGTGGGCTCTTGCCTTACTAAATTTACCTTCGCCAAATTTGTCAGCTTTCTAGCTGCGGTGTGCAGGCCAGCCATTAGAGTCTGGCAGTACACTCGGAGACGCTCCCTACCTTCCGTTCACTCAGAATCCCAGTTAGGCCGCAACAGAGGAAACCCCTTGTCCATGAGATGAGGCTGGGCGGTTGGTCTCCCATCGACCCCCGGGACCCGTTTCCGCACCTCTGCCAGGATTCGCTCCCGTTCTTCTGTGGTGAAGAGCACCTGCAACAGCTGCTGACAATCGTCCCAGGTGGGTTGTGAGTGAACAAAACGGAATCTAAGAGGTCAATGAGGCCTTGGGGTTTCTCTGAGAAAGGAGGGTTCTGGGTTTTCCAATTACACAGGTCACTCGTGGAAAAGGGCCTGTACTGATAGGTTCGCTCTCCGTCCTGGTTAGCTGGTCCCACTCAGATGGGGAGTGCCTGAACAGGAGATGAAGGTAACTCTGGGTCCCCAGAGTCTTGTCCACCCCTAGTTCTCCCCCAGGTCCCCAATGCTGCCACCCCCCCCCCCACGGTCGGTTCCCATTGGCCCTCTTAATCCTATTGGTTCACCCGTGGGAGCTTCTCTCCTCAAAGAGAACTGCAAGGGGGGCACATATGGCAGAGGCCTTATCTCCGTTTCTAGATCTATCAGGTTTGGATAAGATGATTCCTGAAGGACTGGTTTTGGGTCCTCTTTCTTTTTGGTTTCTTCTGGGGGTGGGGGGGGATCTCCATAACCAGGACCTGTGAACTGGAAGAACTAGGAAGTTTGTAAACGAAAGGTTTTAACCACTTAGGCGGATTTTCCACTAGACCTTGCCAGACCATGACATAGGGGACCTGATCTGGATGGCCCCAGGGATCAGGAGCCATAATCTTCTCCTTCACAGCCTGTATGATGGACGGTTGAAAGGTGCCTTCCAGAGGCCATCCAACCTGGAAGGCGGGCCACTCTGCAGAGCAAAAGTTTATTAATTTACCTTTTTTGACTAGTAAAGACAAGTTATGGCCCTTGCCCTGACATCTGAAAAATGGTCAGTCATGAGAGAAAGTGGGGTAGATCCCCCCTGACCCATGGTCAAAGAATAAATGGTAGGGGAGAGAGAGAGAGAAGTCACTGAGAATGACCACCAAAATATCCTACCGGGAGTGGTGGCAGCCAAGAGGTTGGACTTATGGTATGCTTTTGGAACTGTTTATGTGCCTGCGTCATTTCATGGAAGTTTTCTTGCTGGGGGCAGGCACCCTAGAGGTTTCTAGCCCATTCCGTGGCCCCCTTATCCTCTCATGGGAGTCTTCAAGTGGCAGGCGCCCTAATGGCCTTTAAGTGCCTGACCCGTGCCCACACAAAGAATTTTAGGCCACGTCCTCAGTTAGGGATGTTAAAGGAGAGTTTCACCCAATCGGGCTCCCGTTACTGAGGCTCACATACTGTAGGGCCTTCAGAGTCCGCCAGAGTGTAGCCCTGGCCGGGACTCATCAATTGCCACCACAACCGTTCACCTGTTCACTGAAACTCCCGAAAATAAAAGGAGTTGAGGGCAGATCAGAGAAGAAGAGGAAAGGAGAGTAAGTCAGAAGAGAGAGAAGAGAACGATGCACCAGAAGAGAACGAGACCAGAGACAATGCCGGCGCACACACACATAAACACGGAGGGTTGTAGACAAACACACGGATAGACAAATGTCAGCCGACAACACAGCGCTGGGTTTTTGGGCCCCCTGAGTCCTCTTGCCTCCTGGTACAAGGTTTATCTTACCAAATGGCATCCACTGTTCACAAGACTCGGGATCAGGAGAGGAACTCCCCTTCCTGCAGAGCTGGCAGCCTTCCAGTACGCTCGCTGGCCTCGGTCTTGTGCCGGCTGGAACGTCCAATCCGTTCCCCCTTTATAGAAAGCTTTCTCCTGTGCCAGATACCTTCCTGCTTCTCAGCAGGGCCTCGGATTTACACTGGACTTTCCTGTCCTGCCTGAGCACTAGTGCTATATCTATCCTTCCCCTCTGTCCTGGAAGTGTTCTCCCTCCCCGGTCAAGGGATCCCAGACGGGCCCCCAAATGTTATGCCCATTGTCCGAATCCCTGAGCGGGAAGAGAGAAGGCCTCCAAGACAATGCAACTCGCATAAAAGGGAAGTTTATTGCTGACTCGAGTCAGGGCTCCTGCCGCGCGTCCAACGCAGTGGTACGGGGTCAGAGAGCGCTGAGCTCAAGCTGTTACCCAATTTATAAGGTGTGCATAAGCAGTTGGTAGCTGGCTTAAGCGGACTGGTTACATGTTTGCAAAGTAATCTTATTGGCCCAAACCTTCGCGGGCTTTTTTCAAACTTGGGCGTTTGCGGGCTTTTCAGCTTTCCCCTGAAAGGTTCCCTTTTTCCTACTAGGCGCATGTTGATTGGCTGGCTCCAGGTGGCCTGATAATCATGTTACCCTGGAAAACCAGGACTACTCCAAATCTAGGCTGCCTATCATGGCACAGCCTCACACAATTAAGGCTTCCTACAGGATTGGGAAAGTAATAGTTGACATGGACCACCTTTCTAAGTATCTGCAGGTTGCAGTTTGCAGCCAGTAGAGGCTTATCTATTCTTTGGAACCATACTGGTAACAGTTTTGTCAGTCTGTGAAAATGTCTGTTTGAAACCTTTGATAATGTCTGTTATTATCCAGGGTCATTTGCTTATATTCACTTTGCTGTTTTAACTTGTTTCATGAAAAGCAAAGGGATATTAAAAGAGAAAATTTTGTGTTAAATTTATTTAAACAACCACATATGCTTGTTTTGTCTTCAAGTATTGGATTTAAACATGAGAAAGAGCACTCATTTTATTGGTATATTTTGTATATAATATTTAAAAATGGAAGAAACTGCTCCTAAATATTTATAGAATAAGTTGAATCATGCTAAACTGTATGCTCTATTTTAAATCATACCTTATAATTCAGAGTTTACATAGTCCAATAATTCTCAGCAGTAAGAGAATATTTATTACAAAGCTAGAAAATCTTCTTTTCACTGTATAAACTTATTCCTAAGGGCACTTTTCTTTAGGATTCAAGTCCTTTCTTGGAAATAATAACCTAGAAATGCAGGGCTGAAGATTGAAATATACAAGCAATGTCTATATGCAAACAAACATGGCACATAAAATAATCACTATGAACATCTGTGTGTATGACTCACATAATGATTCTATGGAAAAGTATTAAAAGGAGCTGTAGCAATAATTTAGCCTGAGTCCATGAATTAAGAAGCACATAAATGCAAGAAACATTTTTTCTCAACTTAAAAAAAAAAAAACTGCTCCCTCTTAAGAAACCTTTCTAGACACACTCTTGTTCACACATTTCCGTCTATGGGATTTTAATACCATAGGTTTACTGTGTGTCTGTTTATATATGATGCCCCTTTGGAGAACCACAAACTATTATATATAAGATGCCACCTCCCAAAGAAACAATTGGCCGCATATTCAAGACAAAATCATCTGCATTGAAAATGCATAACAGAGTGGCAGCAAGGAAGCTCACCAGGTTGTTATTCAAAACTCTGCATTTTACTGACAGGAAGCTGAGACACAGAGAAGGAAATTGATTTGTCTAAAATAACGCATACTTAATTGGTGTTAAAATAAAAGAAGTATAAGGCTTAGAACTTGGTCAATTTGTTTTCCTATATACCTGATATTGACCAAAACAAGAACCTTTGGGAAGGGAAAACCCATAGTACCTGCATGGTGACTAAGTGATGTAAATGTTGGACCCTCAAAGTTACATCTTAGTCTGATATTTTAATATAAACAGAATGTAACATTATTTGAAATTTCAAAAGCTATGCATTACTTATATGATAATTTATAATAGAGAAAAATCCTGTGAGAAGAGCTCCACAACGGAGACTTAAACATTGCAATATAAGGCAAGGCTCGTTTAAAGGTCAATCACTGGTATACTTTTGGTATTTTCCTTGGGTTAGAGCTTGTTTAACAAAGTAAGGAGTTCACAACTGTCAGATGCTGGCATTTCAAAGAATAAAAGGTGGCTTCATGAAATAAGACAAAATTTTTTTTGTACAATATTGTATCAAATATCACCTAGAAAAGAGTGTTAAAATTCTGTTTATAAACATGTGTCTTCTTTCTTAGAGTAACACAAATAAAAATAATAGTCATGATCAGAAAGTAAAACTGCCATCAAGTCTTGATAAGTAAGTAAAGTCGTTCAGTCATGTTCGACTCTTTGAGACCCCATGGATGGTAGCCTACCAGGCTCTTCTCTCCATGGGATTTTCCAGGCAAGAGTACTGGAGTGGGTTGCCATTTCCTTCTCTGTAAGTCCTGGTCGTCCTGATCTAAATGATTACAAAGATTTAGTAGAATATTATTGTAAAGTTCAGAGCACTGAACTTTAATTAATACTGTAATTAAATTCCACCATTTAGAGAGAGAAAAAACAATCCATGCTCCTTGGTCATAGGGAGATATGGTTTCTGACAGGTAACTACACATATTCCTAGTTGGAAGCACTAGACCTCTAATTAAGACTAGCAGGAGTCTCTTGGTCCAATAAATAATTTTTAAATTGCTTCACTCTACATGATTGACTTTTAATGCATTCCCAGAAGTATTAGAAATACCTGTTGTAAAGTAATACAAAGAATGTGCAACTCACAGGGAAAACATAATAGTTATAGTAGAGGGAGATATATAACTAATATAACTAAAGCATGAATTTTAACTTTGAAGACATGAATAAGTAGTTATGTCCTTATCTTGGCCCATGTGTTTGAACATGATAACATTTATTTCCCTTGAAATCACACTTTATCCCACTCAGCTACCCTAAATTTTTCTCAAGGTCAGTAAACTCAGGCAAACCACTCTTCAATTTCATTCATACAGATTTCCTAGGACCTTGTCACTTTTTTATTAGCCTTACTCCCAAATCAATTTTGAATTTTACCTGGTCCCTGACTCTTGGTTTATATTCCATTGTGATTTTCCTCTACCCTTCACACGCTGCACCCTTAAACCTAGTAAATTTTTGTCTTAATATTTTATTCCTATATATCAACTAGAATATAACACCTAATTCTCAGATCCTGGCACCATATCTCCCAAGCAGACATCGCTGGCTCGTGCCCTAGCTGAGAGTGCTCTATAGAAATCAGATAATTTATTTTATCATGTTTTCTTTTACTCATCACAAAAATATCTGTTGAACATTTCAATAGTCAAGCTATTGAAGCTCTGCTCTGCTAGGCTTGGAGACACCGTGGTGAAGAGAAATGATTGCTTTTTAATTCATGGATATTCCATTCTATTTAAGGAGACAAATCTAAAAAATAATAGCCTAACTGCACAATTAATGATTCCATTATAATTTTGATAAATACTACAAATAAGCTCACAGAGCATTTGTAACTAGAAACTTGTCTATGCTGATAAGTCAGGGAAGATGTCACTGTATAAATGATGTTTCATCTGAGGATCAAAAAATGTAGTTTTCTTTTCAAAGAATAAGGAGAGAAACAAGAGTGAGTGTAAAGCACAAAGGAGCTACAACAACCAGGAGGCTCATTAGCAGAAGTGTGAGAAAACCAGTGTGGTAGAAAGTAGGGGATGAATCAAGGTGAATAAATGTATCAGTCTGGGAGATAGATGCCAGATTATGTAGGACAATTCTAAGCATTTTCAATTTTACCAGAGGGTCTCTCTCCTGGATGGTGGGGATGGCTGCATAGAGGCCTGTCTGTCTCTTGCTTGTTTTGTGAGCAGTCAAATCAGGTTCTTTGGGAATGATATGAATATTTAATGGAAGTCAAATGGAGGATACCGTTGTACCATGGGGTTTGAAGGCCCGTCTTTTGAAAAACTCCCTTCTAGGTGGGGGGCCACCACTTTCATGCATCTTAAAGATTTTCCACTATTTCCTGGCCACCATTGTTTATAATGATAGTGACTTCTCAAATATTTGTTTCCATGTATATAATGTGTCATTTTTCTCTGACCACTCTCAAGATTTTTTCTTTACATTTGATTTTCAGCAGTTTGACTATAATATACCTCTGTGTGGTTTACTTTCATCTGTGTTCTGGTTGGGGTTCACTAAGACTCGTAAGGGCTTCCCTTCTGGATCAGTGATAAAGAATCTGCCTGCCAATGCCGAAGATGTCGGTTTGATCCCTGGGTTGGAAAGATACCCTGGAAAAGGAAATGGCAACATACTTCAGTATTCTTGCCTGGAAAATTCCTTGGACAGAGGAACCTGGTGGGCTACAGTCCATGGGGTGTCAAAGAGTTGGACACAACGCAACTGAACAACAAAACAATTTTATCATGAGAGTTTTGAGAAGGTATGAATGTCTTTAAGGTTGTAAAATGACTTGATTATATTTAGGCTTTATAGACTATGGATAATGAATTGAGAGTTGTAAAATGCAGCTGGCTAAAATCAGATCAAAGGATACAATCAGCAATGA